AAGTTTGTTTTGAAATTTCTTCACATGCATATTTGAGCTCTGACACCACCATTGATCCATGGGATTCCTTCCAGTGACTCCCTTCAAGACCTCTTTCTCTTCACCTGAGAGATCCAACCCATCTCCAGTCCCATGTTTTTAACCTCCCAGTCAGTATCTTTCCTCTCCATCCACTGCTTGACTTCCAAGGTCTTCCAAGGTCACCCACAAATACAGAGGTCCTACTTTATGTGATCTCTTGTCTCTGGCTTCCAGTGTCTCCTCTCTCCAACTTCTCTGCGATGCTGCCCTCCAGAATATTGCAAACCTGCTCATGGTACTTTTCACCTTAAGACTGATCTATGGCTCCCTGGTAGCTGCATAAATTCCAGATTCCTTTGCTTCACGCAACATGTCAATTCCTTGTGACTTGGCTCTTATCCATCTCTCCAGCCTCTTTTCCCTCTGCTTTACTCCCTTGAAATCTGCACTCAAGAAAACAAAATACTCAGGGTTCCCCAAACATAAACTGTTTCTTACCTCCTTATCCTACCAATTCAATCCCCACATCACTCAACATTCATCATTCAAAGGTAGTTCTAAGAGTTCTTCGGCCTTTCCTAATGCTCCCAGACAAAACTAACGTTCTCATCTCCATTCCTGTAACCAGTTCCCCCTGGTAAGTGCCCTCTCTCAATGGCATGGCCCTTAGCTCAAGGGCCAAAGACAGAAATCTGGGCTTCATCTCATACCACACATCCAAACCACAAAGTCCAGTTTGTTTTATCCTAAATAGCTCTAATGCTGCCCTTAGTACAGACTCCTTATCATTTTTGTTTGGACTTGTAGTCTCCCTATGTCAAGTCTTACCTGATTACTACTTCCCTGCTCACAATTGTGATGGTATTATAGCCCCTCAATATGGCCCAATCTTCCTTCCTCACCCACCACCAACCAATCACCAAGGCCTCTCAATTTACCTCTTAAGTATCACTTGACTTTGAGTTTCTTTGCATCCACAGCCATTCCCTATGGGAGGCCACCACAGAGAGAGGAGTACCCAGATTTGACTACATGCCTCTATTTTTACCTTCACTCCCATGCTGTCAGGCCAAAGCTCTCACTCTTCAGTGTGGCCCACTGGCTGCTCAGTGGCTTCTGCTCATTAGTCTCCCCACCTATCTTCCTATTCTCTACCTATACACTTTAGCCTGGCTTTTCACACAGACCACTCTCCCATGTAGAACCTTCTTACTCATATTCCTCCCCTTGGATCACTCCCAATTCATCCTTCAGGTCTCAGTCTAGATATGTACCCCAAAATATATTCCATAAAACTGTATACCCCTCCCTTTGGGAGTGGGAAATGCTTCTTCCCCAATCCTGATGAGTCCTTCACATCAGGGGAGCTCAGTTAGTGTAACTCTAGGCTTCTTCCCACACCCTTAGTTTCCTGGTCTCCGGGGATAGTTTATCTGACTGGTAGACTTTGACAGAATAGTTGGGCCTGAGTAGTTCTTAAGCCTTCCTCCTGAGATTTAGCTACCTTCAGAGAACAATTCTACTGTCCTTGAGGCAGCAAGTTTGCCTAATTCAAGAAGTCCAGTTAGCGGGGCCAGCTGGCTCTCACGTGGAATGGTAGTAAGTGATACTTTGGCCTCTGTCTTTACTCTTGTTTTTCAAACTGGAGAAGAGAGATGCTTTATTTCTGGACCTCTTCTGAGATCAAGAACACTCATCATAATACTTACCACATTAGACCATGTCATTCGATTATAAGCTTCCAAAGAGAAGGAATCAGCTCTTTCTCATCCTTGTATCTCCAGCACACTGCCTAGCATATAGTAAATGCCCAATCTGTCACATGAGTGAGTAAAGCCCATGATGCCCTGACCCCGGAAACCTCTCCAGTCTCATCTTCACTGTACTTTTTTTTCTCTGACCCTATATTTTAAACTCCACAATACTAACCCACATTTTCTTTCTTTCTTTTTTTTTTTTTTTTAAGAAATAGGCTATGTTCCCTCATTTCTTGATATATGCTATTCTTAAGGTATCATCACATTTGAGGCCCCATATAGTCCAACTCTGCCTTTAAAAGTCAGCCCTGGGAGCCACCTCCTCCATGAAACCTCCTCCAGGCACACACCATTTTGTTTATATATGCATTGTAACATACCTCTGCATTTTCAGTCTACTCATATCCTGTGTGACCTACTAGACTACCATTTTCCAGACATTTATATGTTCTATAAAGCACAGCAAGAAATACACTTCATATTGCAACACAGTACACACATTCATTCATCTAACAGATATTACCTGTTTACTCCATGCTAGGCACTATTATAAGTATAGAAATACAGCAGTGAACAAACAAGATATAAATCCTTGCCTCCAAGAAGCTTCTATTCTGGAATTTTAGGTTGGGTAGAAAAAGATTTCTTAAGCTTTCCAAATAGGAAAGCTTAGAAGGAAAGAAAACTCAAAACACACAAGGAAAAAAAAAAAATCCACTGGCCTTCCATTTTTCCCTGACAATATTCCGTGTTAGAAGACAATGAAAACAATGTTAACTTAGTTCTAAGGGGAAAATAAACATAATACATCCAAGCAAAATTATGCCTATGCAGCCATCCTTTTTACCAGTATAGACACCTGGAATGATGTTCACCAAATTTAAAGCCTGGTTATTGCTGGGTGGCCAGTTTAGGGTCTTGTGCTACTTTTTTAAACTATATTACCCGAATTCATATTAGTTAGGTATCATTTTTATAAAAATCCTAAAGTATCACTCTTGATAAAAACAAAACGAAAAAAAGTATGGCAGTGTGCATCGCAGACATGTAATAATTAATTAATCCACAAAAGGAAGAATGGTAAAGTAAAAAAAAAAGAAGTTCACAAAGTAAACTTAAGATGAACTCTGGTATTTCATATTCTATTCTATTTTATTTTTCTTAAACTCATTTTGCTCCACAGAATTGATTTCCATGTCCACTCATGATTATCTATAGCTTGAAAAATATATACGAGGCTTGAGGTACCTGGGTGGCTCAGTCATTAAGTGTCTGACTTCCACTCAGGTCATGATCCCAGGGTCCTGAGATCTAGCCCCACATGGGCCTCTCTGCTCAGCGGGGAGCCCTGCTTCTCCTGGTCCCTCTGCTGTTCCCCTGGCTTGTGCACACTCCCGTGCATGCGCAATCTGTCTCTCTCTCTCTCTGTCAAATAAATAAATAAAATCCTAAAAAAGAAGAAAAGAAAAAAATTATATATATGACTTAACAATAGTACAGATACCTTTTCAACTAAGTATCTCCAAAGAATGCCCAACATTTAATAGGCACTTATTTAGCATTTCCTGATAAGCAACTGAATGCCTGCACATTTTCCTGAGAGCAACTTGAGAGCAGAGGTCATTTTTTTTCATCTTTGCAACCCCAAGGCTGGGCACACAGCCAGTTCTGCAAACTGTTTTATAATGAACTTTGTGGTGATGAAAATAAATGTTTGTTGCACTGAGTTGAGGCCTACTAGCTAAACAGCACAATTTTTTTTAAAGATTTTATTTATTTGACAGACAGAGATCACAGGTAGGCAGAAAGGCAAGCAGAGAGACAGGAGGAAGCAGGCTTCCCGCTGAGCAGAGAGCCCCATGCGGGACTCGATCCCAGGACCCTGAGATCAAGACCTGAGCCAAAGGCAGAGGCTTAACCCACTGAGCCACCCAGGCACCCATAAACAGCACAATTTTAATATAACACTTCATAAGTACAACTGTTGAACAAATGAAGCATTTCTTTCGGTAACAAAAATTTGGAGATTCAATTGTAATAACTAGTATTTCCCAACAAAAACATGTTGTTTCTTGGAACAACCTCCCACTTCACAGATGTGAAGATGCTTCTCAGAGGAGTTCAAACCCAAGGCTGCATGTGCCAGGAAAACAAAACACACCAAAAGAGGTCTCTGTTGGCTCTGAACCCTGATCCTCAAAACTTCTATTTTTCTGAAGCAAAACAGTTTCAAAATTGTCAGATTACAATTAATTTTTAAATGAGTTCATTTTCTCCCTCTCATACTGTATTGTCTAATAGTGTCAGAAGAGTTGGGATATGGTCTGTGTGACCTTATTACTACAGTCCTAATGATTTGTTGGGGGACTGGGAACAACCTTTGAAGATTCTTCTACCTCACAGAGCTGTTGTACACAAAGCAAGTTCCAGAAGAGGCCAGAAAACCCAGGCTTCTTTCGCAATGACCAAAATCTTTAGAGGAAAACCGCATCAAAAAAATCTTCGTGTTGAACGAAGTTCTCTTACTTGAGAGACTTTTAAAAAGAAAGTTCTCTTACTTGAGAGACTTACCATACTATTTCCTCATGTTCACATTTGGAACTAGGGTCTCCGTTTCTCAAAAAAGATCATGGCTGCCCATTCTACTGGACTAGAAAAACGTGCTTGGGAGAAGGCACTGTCTGCTTTTTTCTACATCTGCCTTCTTTTTCTTATCCTCTCCAGCTGTCTTCACCTGCATTTTTTATTTGAACTCTGGGTCAGGCGGACATACATAAGTTGACAAAACAAACAAAAAGTTGTCTCACCCAAAGCATGGGGGAGATAGAGGTTGCCCCCAGCCCAAGATACACCTCTCCCAGTTTAGCTCTAGGAAGGGGAGTCTAGATAGCTGGGTTTGGGTTTTTTTCTTCTTATAAAAGTTTTTAAGTGAATATGTTTGTATTAGCTTTGAAGCTTCCAGGGACATGCAAACTCTCAGAACCACACTTTCTCTGACAGCAGAATGTGATTTTGCTCCTTCTTAACCCTAACCCCCGGCTCCCACCGCCACCCCCCCCCCACGGCGCGTCCCCGCGCCCCGGAATCCCCTGTCCTCGCTCCCCGCACCCCGGGGTCCGGACCTTCGCCGTGCGCACCCCCGGCAGCTGTCCCGAAAACCCGCACGGGCAGGGCGCTCGCTGGAGCCGAGCCGGACCCTCAGTCCCTCCAGCGTCGCCTTACCCGCCGAGGACCGTGGTACCCAACAAGGAACACCCGACCTAGCAGCGCCATTTTGGACCTCCACGACACAGTCCCGATACCCGCGGGGGTCAGGGGGCGGGGCCGGGGCCGGGGTAGGGAGCAGGGGCGGGCGATGGAACAGAGCCGGAGCTGCGCGGGGAGCCAGGGCCGGGGCGGGGATTGAGGGCGGGGGCGGGGCGGGGGCGGGGCCGAGGCAGGGGTCCGCGCAGAGAGGAGGGCGGAAAAGGAGCTGGAGGCGGGCCAGGGCGGAGGTGGGGCAGGAAGTGGGGAGGGGGCGGAGGCGGAGGAGGTGGGGCCGGGGCCGGGGCGGGGGCGGATCCCGGGCGGGGGCGGATCCCGGGCGGGGGCGGAGGCGGGAGCCAGGATGGGGGAGCCGGGGTTGCTCTCCGCGCTGCCACGCCCGGCGCCCCCTACCCCTTGTCCAATTCGTAGTTGGTGTGGCGCTGGATCTTACATCATCAGAGTAATAACATCTTGGATTTAAAACTCAGCCTCCCTTGTCCGGGGGCGAAGCGCTTGAAATCTAACAAAAGCAGGAGCTTCCGGGCGGCTTTGATTTTCCGCAGGACACGCCGCCCCCTATCTTCGAGAGGCAGAAGGGCTTTGACCTGGGGTCCCGCCTTTGCTTTTCTCGCGAAGGGAGTGAGTAACACACACGTTAGAAGCCAAGGGGTACTTTTAGTTCGTCATTCTGCGTCTTAATGTCATGTATGTTCACACGCTGCATAAACTCAGATCACATTTTCTTCCTCACTTCTAATATGTGACTTCATACCTGACTCAGCATTATTGTGACAATTGAAAGATGGATGTGAAGCTCCAAGCTCAGCCTGATGGTAGGTGACAGAGTTAACAAAGTGGTGAGAAAGAATAACAGCAGACATTCAGAACCATTCAGTTAGTCCATGCTAATCTCCTTTCAAATATAAACCACTTCACAGAACACCAACCTCACAACTTGACTCCGAGATCAGAAGGTGAGACAAAACAAGCCAACGTTATAATTTTGTCTAAGCACAAGAGAAGACCACCGTTGTTCTACCTAACAACATGTCTGGCTAAAACGAGTGACCATTTCTTTACCAGTTACAGCTTTTACCTCATTCTGGTATCCCTTCCCTCTACATAAGATTTACTGAGAGCTTCCTTCACAGATTTGCCCCTGCTTTTTGACAGCATCTAACCTAGAGTGAACCGCCTACTTCCTTAGACCATCTCTCTAATCATCCAATCAAAGTCCAAATCCTATAACAGGTTCTTTCTAACACCCTTTTACTTAGACACCCCATGGTTTACCATGGTGTGTGTTCTTCCTTGCTACATAAAAACCCCAATTGGTTCAATCGTAGATGTGTCACTGGCAGACTCTGGTTGTAGGGCATTGACAGTGCCCTTACAGTGTCAACTCATTTTCTCACCTTAGGCACCCCCAAAGCAGATCAGTGAGCAAGGATCCAGTGCAAGTGACTCCTTTGGGAACTTTGGGAATCACCAGTAAGGAAGAGAGGCAGGCAATACAGGGTAAGTTATTCAGCTAGCTGACATTGCAGACAACTAGAAGTAATGCCAGAGAAGACACTCTGGAGAAAATGGAGAAAACATGCTGCTATGGACTAAATACTCATTAAGGTGATGGTATTAAGAAGTGAGGCCTTTGGGAAGAAATTAGATGAGTGCCCTTATAAAAGCAGCCCCAGAGAGCTAGCTCGTCACTTCTGACATGTGAGGATGCAAGGAGAATTCAGCAGTTTGCAACCTGGAAGAGAGCTCTCATCAGAAGTTGACCATGCTAGCATCAGACTTCCTGCTTCTGCAACTAAGAGCAATAAATTTCTGCTGACTATGAGTCGCCCAGTCTATGGTGTTTTGTTATAGCAGCCTGAACGGACTAATAGACTTGCCTCAGAGAACTCTCACCTGAGAAATGAGGGAGCTGGAGTATTTTACACATTACTTCTTTTTCAATGGCTGAGCACTGCTAGGCGTAGATACTGATTCTCCAGCCCTTCTTTCCTCTGGGCTTGGCATCAGGGCTTCAGTGAAAGACCTCAAGAAAAGAAATGCAGGCACTGTAGTTGGTGTATGCGCTGCCTTTAAGTGGTAAGGCCCACGGGATCTAAGAGCGATATGCTCCATTATCAACCCATCAGCCACCCTCATTTAATTCTCGCAACCCTGTAACGTTTTTATTATTCTTTTCCCTTATTCCCAGAGGCATATACCAAAGTAGGTGAGGAATTTGCCACAAGATCCACAGGCTTTAAGTGGTAGGGCTGGGATGTGATTCCAACAGTCTAGCCCTAGAGCCTGTGCTTTTTACCACTGTATTTTTTTTTCCTGTTAGAATGTAACAAATTACCACCAAGTAACAAAATTCTGTCTTCATTTGTTGATGTTTAACTGCTGGTAGCTTTTAAGCCTCACCCCTTCCTTTCTCTTGTGTCTTGGGTCAGCTAGGCAAGTGGACAGGAAAGCCCAGATACTCTCTCCTTTGGCACTGCAGCCAAGCCCCTTCTCACACATGGATATCCTCACTCTAACCCATAAACAACACCCAACAGTGATAAAAAATCCCAAGCCACTCTTTTTTTCATTACTGTATTAATTTTCAAGGCCTGCCTTAGTAAAGCAGCATAGACTAAGTAACTTAAACAACAGAAAATTTATTTTTTTCACAACCTGGAAGCTAGAAATCTGGTATCAAGATGTTGGTGGGATTGGTTTCTTCTGAGGCCTCTCTCCTTGACTCATAGATGGTGCCTTCTTCCACTGTCTCCATGTGGTCTTCTTTCTTTACATTTCTGTATTTAAAGTTCCCCTTCTTATAAGGACACCAGTCCTATCAGATTAGGGGATACTGTAATGAGCTTATTTTAACTTTATTATCTCTTTAAAGCCTTATCTCTAAAACATGATTTGATCTATTGCTCAAATTCTAAGGTATTGGGGGTTAGGACTTCAACATATGAATTTGAAGGGGGCACAATTTAGCCCATAATACTTTCTCCCTCAAACCATTTAAATCAGCTCAGGAGGCCTGCTCTGTCCTTCCAAACAGTCTCACTGCATAAATAATAAACATTTTTATATTCGTGTGTCCGTGTGTGTGTGTGTGTGTGTGTGTGTGTGTGTGTGGCATCATCAGTCTTGACATCCAAACTAAACATGGGGTGGGAATCCAACTGGTTTCCACAGAGATATTATAACACTAGTGTCTTAAAATGATGCATATTCATTATGTCACATTTTTCTATGGGTCAGAAATCTAGATATGGTCCTAGACAGTCCTAGGCGGACTCTAGGACTATCCAAGTATGCTAGGCTCTCAAAATACTGCAATCAAGTTGTCCACTAGGCCATGTTTTCCTCTGGAGACTCAAATGGAGAAGAATCTGCTTCCAAGCTCTTTCAGGTTGTTGGCAGAATTCATTTCCTTGTACCCATATGACTGAGGTCCCCAGCTTTTGCTGACTGTTGGCTGGAGGCCATCCTCAGCTTCTAGACATCACTTATAATTTTTTTCTATATGAACTTCCTCAGTATAACTGCTTATTTTATCAAGCTTGCGAGGAGAATTTTTTGTCTCAGAGAGGATCCAGTCCCTCTTTTCAGGATAATCACCTGATTAAGTGAGGCTCACCCAGGATAATCGTAATCTCCTTTGATAAACTAAAAATCGGCTGATTTAGGACCTTACTTATATCTGCAAAATCCCTTCACCTTTGCCATATTCTGTAGGCTAGAATCAAGTCACAGGTCCCATCCATATTCAAGGGTAAGGGATTATATCTGGTATGAATACCAGGTGGCAGGGGTTATGGGAACCTCTTAAAATTCTTCCCACCACAACCACTACACTAGCCATGGGAAGAAAAGGCGATTGGTCCCATTTTAGGTAGACCCACACTTTACAACCAGTCAGAGGAGACGAGCCATAAAATACGCTCAGGCAGGCTAGACACTGGGCACTCAGCTTAACTGTTTATGCACTAAGCTTGGCACACCTTGGCAGAGGGTTGAACTTCAAGAGAACAAGCCAACAAGGAAAAGGAATAACCCGAGAGGTCTCCCCAAAGGCCTGGTAAAACCTGGGGCCCTTCTCATGATTCTGAGAGGGAAGGAGAGTGCAGGGCACAAAGATGAATGAAAGTAGGTAAAATGAAAACAGTATTTTTACCACTAATGGTACGATATCTTGCTTTTGCAAATTTTACTGAAAAATAAATTGCTGTTGCCATTTTCTAGAGATGGTACCATAAATATAATTTAGAGAACTTGTAGCATTCTTAGGCACGACTAAAGAACGGACTGGGGGCATGAAAAAAAGAGGCCACTCCAAATGTGAGGAGTTATTTCAACTAGGCAGGAGCCATGGGGTTCGAATTCAATGCCTGAGGATATATTACTCCTGAAAGCTAATATTTTTCACCTTGTTCTGTGTGTCAGGCAGTGCTCCGCACACTACGTGTGTCCTAGTCCTCAAAGGCATTTGTGATTTGTACTATGATTATCCCCATTTAGAAAGTGAGGCACAGAACAATTAGGCAAACTAATAGCTAACAGTGCTGCAGTTGGAGGCAGCCCAGGCTGGCTCTGGGGCTGGAGCTCTCAGCCATTGCATTGTTCTCTGTGTCAGAGGGACATAGACATGGGAGTCAGACTGCAGTGCCTCACCGATGTGTCACAGGTAGCCAATTAAGAACTTTTTCTTTCATTTCCTTATCTGTGAAGTGAAGGTATGAAGAGTGCGAACCTCAAAAGGTTTTTCTCAGGTTTAAGCAAAATAATATATTTAAAGCATTTGCAGGGCGCCTAGGTGGCTCAGTGAGTTAAAGCCTCTGCCTTCAGCTCAGGTCATGATCTCAGGGTCCTGGGATCGAGCCCCGCATCAGGCTCTCTGCTCAGCAGGGAGCCTGCTTCCCTTCCTCTCTCTCTGCCTGCCTCTCGGCCTACTTGTGATCTCTGTCAAATAAATAAATAAAATCTATAAAAAAAAATAATAAAGCACTTGCAACAGGGTCTGGCACATACAAACCAGCAGAAAATGCTTGCTATGGTCCTGCACTTAGAGACTGAGCA